AACCCTAACCCTAACCCTAACCCTAACCCTAACCCTAACCCTAACCCTAACCCTAACCCTAACCCTAACCCTAACCCTAACCCTAACCCTAACCCTAACCCTAACCCTAACCCTAACCGGTGAGCCTAACCCTAACCCTAACCCTAACCCTAACCCTAACCCTAACCCTAACCCTAACCCTAACCCTAACCCTAACCCTAACCCTAACCCTAACCCTAACCCTAACCCTAACCCTAACCCTAACCCTAACCCTAACCCTAACCCTAACCCTAACCCTAACCCTAACCCTAACCCTAACCCTAACCCTAACCCTAACCCTAACCCTAACCCTAACCCTAACCCTAACCCTAACCCTAACCCTAACCCGAAACCCTAACCCTAACCCTAACCCTAACCCTAACCCTAACCCTAACCCTAACCCTAACCCTAACCCTAACCCTAACCCTAACCCTAACCCTAACCCTAACCCTAACCCTAACCCTAACCCTAACCCTAACCCTAACCCTAACCCTAACCCTAACCCTAACCCTAACCCTAACCCTAACCCTAACCCTAACCCTAACCCTAACCCTAACCCTAACCCTAACCCTAACCCTAACCCTAACCCTAACCCTAACCCTAACCCTAACCCTAACCCTAACCCTAACCCTAACCCTAACCCTAACCCTAACCCTAACCCTAACCCTAACCCTAACCCTAACCCTAACCCTAACCCTAACCCTAACCCTAACCCTAACCCTAACCCTAACCCTAACCCTAACCCTAACCCTAACCCTAACCCTAACCCTAACACTAACCCCCCTTAGGTGTTACAGGGGTGAGCGAAGCGAACAAGTGAGCGAAGCGAACAAGGTCCATGGTCAGGTGGGCTAGCTAGTATTACCTAGACCAGGCACACAATGTGTAGCCACCCACCCGAACCCTAACCCTAACCCTAACCCTAACCCTAACCCTAACCCTAACCCTAACCCTAACCCTAACCCTAACCCTAACCCTAACCCTAACCCTAACCCTAACCCTAACCCTAACCCTAACCCTAACCCTAACCCTAACCCTAACCCTAACCCTAACCCTAACCCTAACCCTAACCCTAACCCTAACCCTAACCCTAACCCTAACCCTAACCCTAACCCTAACCCTAACCCTAACCCTAACCCTAACCCTAACCCTAACCCTAACCCTAACCCTAACCCTAACCCTAACCCTAACCCTAACCCTAACCCTAACCCTAACCCTAACCCTAACCCTAACCCTAACCCTAACCCTAACCCTAAGCCTGACCCTAACCCTAACCCTAACCCTAACCCTAACCCTAACCCTAACCCTAACCCTAACCCTAACCCTAACCCTAACCCTAACCCTAACCCTAACCCTAACCCTAACCCTAACCCTAACCCTAACCCTAACCCTAACCCAAACCCTAACCCTAACCCTAACCCTAACCCTAACCCTAACCCTAACCCTAACCCTAAGCCTAAGCCTAAGCCTAACCCTAACCCATACCCTAACCCTAACCCATACCCTAACCCTAACCCTAACCCAGACCCTAACCCTAACCCTGACCCTAACCCTAACCCTAACCCTAACCCTATCCCTAACCCTAACCTTGACCCAGCGCTTGGGCGGCGCAGCACGCGACGACGCTCGAGGCCGCCCTCAGCCGTGCCGTCGACGCGGCGGCGGCGGCGGAAGCCGACTCGCCCATTGGCAACGTCGTGCAGTACCTGCTGGAACACGACCTCGCCACCTCTGACCACCCGCCGACGCGCGCCAAGGCCCTCGCCATGCTGCGCGCCGCCAAGGACCCAGCGGCTGGCGCGCCGGAGCGGAGGGGCGGGCCTCTACGGCCGAGGCGGCCACTGCAGCCGCCGCGGCCGGCCAGGCTGAGGCGGAGGCGCGCGTCGAGGAGGAGCAGCGCGACGGCAAGTGCACCTTCTACTTCATTGGCACCACGTACCTCAAGAGCGTCGACCGGCTGCCAGCCTTTCACGACGTGGAGCCCGGCGCGCTCGTCGAGCGCACCGTCGTTGCGACCGACGTCTACCGCGGCGCGCACGCCGGCGACGGCACGCTCGTCGACTCGCACCGCTGGGAGGCGCCCGACGAGCCCGACGGCACGGGGACGCAGCTGCGCGCGCTGCAGGCGCACCTGGAGGCGCACCCGCACATCTCGCAAGTCTGGATCGACTATGCGTGCATGTGCGCCGCCCGCCCGCGCGCCGCCCGCCGGCCCGCCGCCGCCGCCGCCCGCCACCGCTCCGCTCCCTGCCACACGCACCTCGCCCTCCGCACGCGCGCCTCGTGGCGCGCGCCTCGTGGCGCCCGCCATGCACGCTTGGCGCCTCGCTCGCAGGCCGCAGGGCGAGCGGCGCACGCCGGCCGAAGAGGCCTCGCTCCTATTGGAACTGGCCAACATCAGATTTGCCTCGTGCGTCCCTTTTTGAGTCTGAAAGCTATTTTCTTTTGGGTCCTGTGGGCACCCTAACATTGAAGCGAGTGGGCAAGTACCCGCAAATCGGGTGGGCAACGCCGGGCTTCGCGCCCGACGGTGACAATGGTGTCGGCGACGACGCACTGAGCTGGGCGGCCGACGGGGCGCGGCGCAGCCTGTGGCATAAAGGCGAGCGGCCGTGGTCCGTGTCATGGAGGGATGACGACGTGGTGGGCTGCGCGGCGGACATCGAGAAGGGCTCGGTATGGTTTGGGCTCAACGGCGCGTGGGTGGCTGCGTTCGAGGGAGAAGGCAAATCTTGGGAGCAGGGCGTCTTCCCGGCCATGTCCGGGCAACACACGCACTTCTCGCTCAACGCGACGCCACGCTTTGCGGGGCCGTCGCCCAGCTTCGTGAACGTCGCGCCGCGGGATGAGCAGCCGCAGCTTCTTCACCACGAGCCCGGCCTGCTGTACTTGTCCAAGGACGCCATCATTGCGGAGTAGGTACTCGAGTAGTAGCGATCCCTCGATGGTAATCTGCGGGAGCTCCACAAACCAGGTTGCGAGACTTGGGCCCCCCCCGTATGGGCTTCGAGCCCGCGCGACGGCGGCGAGAACGCAGAGCTCTGCCGGTTGAGCTTGCGTGTGAGTGAGTCTTCAGGCGAGAGAGACTGCCGCTTGTGATTGACAAACTCCTTGGTGTAGGCTTCGTCAGCGTCGGCGTGCCGTACTCGTAGCCTTGGATCATGGCGCCAGGGCTCGTCAGTGCGCCTCGACGTGTGGCGGCTGTGGCTTGTGCGCGTCTCTGTGGCTCCTCCTTCCCAAAGAGGGCGGCCGGCTTTTTTTCTTTTTACTCAGGTGCTTGATGTCACAGGATATCGTCAAATTCCTTTAGAAATCGGCTCGCTGGCACTAAAACAGAGAAAAAACGGCGCCTTCGGCGGGCCGTGGGAAGGCTGATCCGACATCCACCCCTTCTGCTGACCCTCAATCGTGCTTGACAGTTGTGTGTGTGTGTGTGTGTGTTTGCAGGGCAAGCTTGTCTCGCCCGAGCCGACGGCGTCGACAGCAGTCTGCTGCACCAGCATTTGCCACGTGCTCCTCCTCAGCTTCCCGGCATGAGCGTTGCAAAACTACAATACATCGGAGAGAGAGAGAGAGAGCCGTGCAAAGCTCGCTTCCGAGCTCTCACGCCGCGCGTAGGGCCCTTAGGGGCCTAGAGAACACAACCCCCTCTCTCTTTTCTCCCAGTAAGCTAAAAGTACGTACATCGGCAGGCGAGGGCTTGACAAGGCGACGTACGAGAGAGACGAGGTGAGCGGCCTGACTGCGTCTCGCGTGTCCGAGCTCCGACGCCTCTTTTCCTGCGCCATTTGCGCAGAGCCGCACCGAGTGATTCTTTCTCGCGACCCCGCCGGGCGGTGGCAGCAGAGCCCCGCTCGCTCGCGCGGCGGCGCCGGCCGTCCGCTCGCTCGCGGCGGCGCTGGCCATGGTCGTCTCAGCCGCGCGTGACCTCGACGTCTCGCTGCAGCAGCTCGGACATCGCAGCGCGTCGGTCCGCCAGGGTGCAGCGCGGCGTGTTCGAACGATGTTCGAGCGAGCCGGCTCGGCGCTCGAAATCCTGCGGAGGCTTTCCGAGGCGCTGGGCTCAAACGACCCGGCGCGGCGCCACGGCGGGCTTGCGCTGGTCAACGAGCTGGTCGATGTCAACGAGTGGTCTCGCGTCGGCACCGGAGCCGCTCGCTTCTGCCGGCTGCTACGGGCAGTGCTCGAGCGATCCACGGCGAGCGGCACGGCGAGAAAGGCGCACCGTCGATCGGTCTGCCGCACCCAGCCCCACGGCCCACTCTAGGCGCCCGACGAGATCGCGCTCGCTGTCCGCACCCTCGGCCACGCCCTGCGCTCGGCGGGCGCCGCTGCGACTGACGCGACCGACGCAGAGCTGTCGCGAGCTCTCGAGTGGCTGCACGCAGAGACGCCTGCGGCGGCGAGCCGCTCGCACCGCCGCCTCTCCTCCTGCCTGATTGTCACCGAGCTCGCCATGCGGAGCGGGCCGCAGGCCGCCTCGGCGGTGGCGGCGCGGCTGCACGAGGCGACACTTCCTGGACACTTCCCAGACGCCTGCCAAACACCTCCCAGACTCCTCCTAGACACTCCCTAGACACCTCCGAGATTCTGCTCCGCGGCGACGGCGCCGGGCCGGAGGCCAGAGCAGCCCCGGCACTCGGAACCTTCCCCGAACCTTCTCCGAACCTTCTCCGAACCCTCTCGGAATGTCTCCCCACGACAGGTGACTGCGGCCGTCTGGGTCGCGCTGCAGGAGCCGCCCTCTGCCTACGGGTCAGTGGCGGGCACCCTCTCTTGACCAGCGCCTCTCTCCCTCTGCAGGACCCGCTCTCCGAGACGCGCATCGCAGCCATCGGCATGCTCCGCTCCTGCCTCGCCATCGTCTCGCAGCGCGAAGGTAGCGGCGCGGCGCCGCGAGGCCACGTCGAGGACAACTCCACGACACGTCCACCGCACCGCTAGGCGGGCTCGGCGCCTGGTACGAGGCTGCCCTCAGCCGCTCCCTCGCGGGGATCCAAAGCTACCACCCCGAGGCCGCCGCCGCCGACTCGCCCTCCTCCTCCGCCTCCTCCTCCGCCCCTCGGCCGATCGAGGAGGGCGGCGGCAGCAGCGGGCTCGACGAGGCGCACGGCTGCCTCTGCGCGCTGAGTGAGCTGCTGAGCGGCGAGCTCCTCTCGCTCGCCCTCGGCCCGCTCCACCCACCCTCCCCGCCCCTGCTCGACCCTCCCCTCCTCGAGCCGACCTTCCAACTCCCCGCCTGGCGCCGCTCCGCCTCCGCGTCCTCCGCCGCCTCAATCCTCTCCCCCGCCCTCCTCTCCCCCGCCCTCCTCCCGCCCTCCGCCGCCGACGCCGCGCCGCACCAAACCCTCGGCGCCGCCGACGCCGTGAGCACGCACCCCTCCTCCGCCTCGCTGCCGCCGCCGATGCCGCAGTGCGCATCGCTGCCCCGCTCCGCCGAGCACCGGGCTGCCTTCGCCGAGGTCCTCTCCGCTACGGAGGAGCCCGCCCGCCCGCTCGCCCGCCCGCCCGCCCGCTCGCCCGCCAGCCTGGTGAGAGACGCGCACCAGCTGAGCGGACCAGCTGAGGCTGCGCACACCGCCCGTCAGGTGGAGCGCGCCTTCCGGCTCGTCTGGCGGCTGCGGGACGAGTCGCCGCCGCACTTGCGGGTGAGGCTCGCCGCGCTGCCCCGCCCGCGGCGGACAAAGCCTCTTCACATAAACGCACAACCCCGGGCCCCGAAATAGCACAGTGACAGTCAGACATGCAACAAGCCTCTTCACACATGAGCACACGCCTCTTCACAGCGCGCGCCGTGACCAGGTCGCGCTGCTCGCCGCGCTGCCTCGGCTGGTCGCAGTGGCGCCCCCCCCTCTCGCCGAGCAGCTCCTACCCCTCGTCGCCTCCCACCTCCTCGCCCGCGCCGCCAGCCACGCGTCGACGGCGCGCGCGGCTTGCCTGCTCCGAGAAGGTTCCGAGAAGGTTCCGAGAAGGTTCTCCCGCCCCGCAGGCGCGCACGGCCTGCCTGCTCGCCCTCGGTGCCCTCGCCCTCGCCACCCGCTCCGCCTTCCTCCCCTACGCCGCCGGCGCAATCTCGATCGCGCGCGCCGAGATCGACAGCGAGCGAGGCGGCGGAGGCGGTGGCGCGCGCGGCGGGCACCGAAACGGGTTCCAAGCCAGGGCCCAAGCCAGGGCGGCGGCCGCCGCCGCCGCCGCGCGGCCACTGCCGCCGCACGAGGCGGTCTTCAAGGCGATCGGAGACGCGTG